GCCAGCCACACGCACGGGTGCTTCCCTCTCACCCCGCGAGGCCGGCGGGCGGGCGGGCGCCGGCAACCTGAAGATTAAATCCAAACAAACGCAGCGGGTCGGAGAGAGCGGCCAGAGCAGGGAGGCAACGGCCCCGGCTCACGCTCTCTTCGCTTTTTCGCACCCCCTTGCCCAGCCCGGGGTCTCGAAGACCTAAACCGATTCTCGCCTCCCTCCCGGGCGGGCTGTCGCTGCCGAGAAGACCTTTCGCGGTAATAGCTGCTCACTGGGGACGGCCGCTGCCCCGCCCCCCTTTCCTAGTTGGCGCCAAACGGAACCCACCAATCACTAAGCAACTTGTCCTCCTCGCTCCCGAATGGCAGGTAGGCTGGACCAATAAGACGGGAAGAAGGAAGCAGCTCGTGGGACTCTGCGAGGTCACCCGCTCTCAGAAGGGGGCGGGGCCGAGGGAGACCGGAGCCGGTCCAAGGGAGAGGGGGCTCAGAGGTCAATGAAAACTCCCAGCAGGACCTGCGAAACGCCGGTCGAGACCGAAAGGCGGCTCTTACCCGTTGCATGCTGGGGAGCGTAGTTCCCGCCCCGCGTGGCAGCCCAGCCCCTCCCACCCACGTTGGGCTGCGGCTGCATGGCCCCCACCTCACCCCGCCCCCGCCCGGCGTCCCAGACGCTGAGTATATGTGGAGAAGGCCATCCAGCCGCTAGAGTCCAGGCCGAGACCAGCCTTGGCTCGACCTATAACCGTGCAGTCCTGTGAGCCCCTCTCTTCCTCCACGGGCCTCCACCCCCCCAATTTTATAATGAGGGAGGGAACTGAATGACTCGAGGACTGGGCACTGTACCCCACCCCCACCCCCCCACACACCAGGGCCCAATTCTGGAGGTCGTCAAACTGCTGGCCACGAACTATTGACCACACAAGACTTGAACCCTACAATACCGCCTGCCGGCAAAGCTCAGCATTCACTGCTTACCTCCATTTTAGCTCTTACTATATTTTCTGAGAATCATTTCCTTCTCTTCCACCCTTTCTTACCTGAGTGGGCGCTCTCAGATTGCAATACCATAAATTAAATAATAGCTAACGCTTATATAGCGTTTATGTGCCAGACGCTGCTCCAAAGTGCTTTATCTGTATTCATTCATTCATTCCTTACAACAACGCTATGAGAGAGGAATTATCCCCATTTTATAGATGACCATATTTACTTTCATATGTCCTACACCGGTGACTGCTCCCAGAATGACCGATTTTATAAGAGGGGCATAGGTACAGCTGCAAGTGGACTGTCTGCAGACAGCATGTGTAGAGCAAACACTCTGCTTATTTAGATTGTGTATTTATTTTAGGTGTCTGGTGATTATGCCCACTACCTCTGCTAGGGGCTACCATTCAATTCATTAAATTTAACGTTTCTTTGAAAAGCTGTTGCTTTGAAAGGTTTGTCTTATACAAATAATACCAAATAATTATACACCTAGAATATATATACTTACAGATAAGTATAATTTTTAAACTCATCTGTAATTCACCATCTTCAAAGAAAAAACTGTCATCATTTGAATTTTTCGTATGTGCTTTGTAAATCAGTATTTGTTTCACGGTCAGATAAAGAAATAGAAAAAGAATGCCTGAGCAGACATTCCTTGAAAGGGATCTGCAGAGTGGTTTGACACACTGAAGCATTTACACCAGCAGGTCCAAATATTGGAATAAAAAGTCGGTGTCAGAAATATCAGAGAACCATCGACTGTTTTCCTTTTTCAATGCTGAAGTGTTGAGTGTGATTTTTATTGTTTGGGGCCATCTTCCATTGTGAAATGGAGCATAACTTAACCACATTTCCACCACCCCCCTCACATAGGCTTGCTCTTTAAAGTCCTGGAGCAGCGCTAGGGGAAGGGAAGAGCCTTGCACTGCGAATTGGGAGGTCTGAGTTCTAATTGGATTCTGCTTTGGGGCAAGTCAGTTTTTGCTTATTCATTCATTCAGTCCCTACTGAGCGCCTACCAATTTGCTAGATCCGAATAGGCAAGGTCAATGTTTCCTTGGAGAATGCTGGAACAGTCTCCATACCCACTTTACTCGGCTAACACCCACCCTCTCCAGGACAGCTCTACCCTCAGATACCCTGACTGATACATTCCCTTGTTCTTATTCCCCCTGCAGGAGCCACATGTTTACTTTTGTTTCTGTGATTATTTAATCAAGGCGAGTCCACTCAAATGACTATCAACTCAGAAGAGTAGGAACCCTGCCTTTCCTTTTCTTTACATGGAGGAGCCCCCAAGTTCCTGGTTTGGGGGGACCCCTTAGTACATATAGATTGAATACACACTGCAAAGAAAAAGTGTGAATGCTTCGAAAGTGTTTAAGAGGGTGATATGATCTGGTCTGGACGGCAAGGAATCCCTGAGGAAGTGTCCAAAAAGATAAGCCCTCAGGACTAGGAAGAGGGTACTCTGGCACAGGGACAAAGGCTCTGAGTCTGGACACAGTCCCCCGTGTGTGGCAAAAAACAAGAAGAAGAGGAGGTTAGGGAGGGCCCAGACTGCAGGGCCCTGAAGATCTCATTCTGGAACTTGAACTTTATCTCCAATCAATGGGGAACCATGGAAAAGTTTACATTTACATTTTAAAAAGATAACCCTAAAAAAAAAAAAGAAGAGAGATAATCCTAGCTTCAGAGTGGAGAGTCCATTTAGAGAGCAGACAATGGTTGAGCTGGGGACACCAGTTTGGAGGGAACCACAAAGTCCTACTGTGAGATGGTGGTGACTCGAACTGGGGAGTTGAAGCAGAGGGGAAAAGCAGGCCTCCCTGTGAGTGGTGAGAGGTGGACAGCTGTTTCTCAAATAGCTGGGCTCCTGGCCCTTCCCTGCCACTCCCCGGCCACCACTTAAAAACTTGGCTTTTAAATCTGCATTCTGTATCCCTGTGCCCTCTATATTTTCTTTGGAGAAAGAATTCCCCTTATTAACAACAAAAGCAAAAACCCACAAAAAAATTCCAAACATTTCCCATTAATTTATTAAACTTATTTTCTGTAAAAAAAAATTTTTTTCTGAGTTAATGTTTACATGTGCCCACTTTCCTTTCAAAGCAATAACTGGCAGGCGGAAGACTAAAACCTTCAGCTCAGAACACCAGTTCCTCTACAGCGAGGCGGGGGTACTAGTTCTCCTGCTTTATCTGTTTCATCCCCCACAAGCACTCAAGCTCCAGCCATGACCACCCCTCCCCTCCAGAAGCCCCAGGGTATTTAAGCCTCTCAGCTGTCCCTCGGTCTGTGGTGCCCACCCCCACCCCATCCGCTATTTTAGGTACTTTCCTCCACTAAACCTCTAAAAAATTTCTCCCCACTCCTCCCGTTTTGTGTAGTTTAATAGTTGGCTCAACCTCCCATTTCTTGCATTCCTTCATTCGACCAATGTTTATTCATTGCTCACTGGGACAAACCCAGTGCTTGAAATCAAATCCCACAATTCCTACCCTCAGGGGCTCACATCTGCCAAATACTATCTCACAAAACATTCCTTGTACTAAAGGAACCATCGTGGTGATAATTGCTGTGATAATTTGTGCCGGGTTGTTGGTGGCACCTGGAGGAGAGGGGGAGGTAGAGATGGGGAAGGCTCGAGGGGAGGGAGAGGGGGTACTTCCCAATGGAGAGTAAAGCTGCTGAGGCTTGAAGCCTTAAGTGGCTGGGAAAGGGGAACTGGGGTGAAGTGGGGGTGCTTTCTACGGAAAGAGCCCTCGGAGGTCAGGGATCGAGAGAATAGCACTTTCTGGGGAAATACTGAGTTTTAGAACGGGCACATGGGAAAGGTCATGAGGGACCCAAGTGGGAACCAGGGGACAGTTCTTGAAGGACTTAGAGCTTACTGAAGGTTTTGGCCACATCCTGTAGACTGGAGGTTGTGGAGGGTGTGTGATAATAGGATCAGAATTGCCACAGGGTGGACCAGTGAGGTATAGTGGGACAGCCTGAGGAACAAGGAGGGGCTACCCCACAGTCCTGGGGGAGAAATCCTGAGGGAGAGCTCTTTAGATTTTGATAACTGAGAGTTGAGGCGGAGGAGGGGAAGGGAGCAGTCTAGAAGGATTCCTAGGTAATTACTTAAGCACCTGGGTGGATGGTACCATTATTTCAACAGTTATTGGAGCAATTTGATGAACTCAGTTTCCTGCTTGTGTACTGTCTGGGGTTGGCACTCAGGAGAAAGACTTGGGGTTTCTCTAGCCTGAGGATGTTAATGTCCAGCGAAGATATGAAAAAAATGTTTAGAGGACTGGATCTGGGGAACCGCGGCATGGAAGCCCGGATGTAGCAAGACAGGCCCACGAAGGCGGTGCTGGCAGTAGCCAGTCTCTGGTTCGCCAAAGGAGGCCATGTTGAGTAGGTGGGAGTAGTAGCCACAGGAAAGCTCCGGAAAGGTGAGAGCTGGCACAGAAGGTACACACGCCACGTTCAGGTTTATAAGTGCACACCACAAAGCACTTACATTTTGAATGTTCATAGCCACATTATTCATTTAAACGTCAAGCAGGGAACGACCCAA